TCCCGCAGGGGCAGGCTCCCAAAAGTTGTTGGGATGCTGCGAACTGTCATAAGTGCAAGGGCTGGTTATAAGTCACTTTTTTTCAGCGTTGTAGCAACTTCGAACAGCCTCTGAACGAATGGTTGTAAGTAGTTGTGAATTCAATTTTTTTACTACCTGTTCTGTGGGTGTGGCTTGGTGGGCATGGCAGGGAAGGATACTGCAAAATCTCCATTCCCACCCCACTCCAGGGGAAGGATACTGCAAAATCCCCATTCCCTCCCCACTCCTGGGGGAAGGATATTGCAAAATCTCCATTCCCACCCCACTCTGGAACCAGCCAGAAGTGGTATTTGCTGGTTCTCCAAACTACTCAAAATTTCTGCTACTGGTTCTCCAGAACTGTCAGAACCTGCTGAATTTCACCCCTGGTTGTAAGTCAAGGACTACCTATATTTTCCAGTTAGATTCACTATAGTGAAAATGTTGTCCATTTCATCTTGGAAAGCTGGCCAATCTAGATCCAATGGACTTGAATATGTTTGTTAGGGGGAATTGTATGGGGTTTAGTATCAAAGTAAAACCTGCCTTTTTGCATCCTGTCTTCAAGCAGGAAAACAATGATGGCCTTGGAGGCTTTTCTTCAAAGAAAGGAGTAATTCTGGCAAGGAACTTCACAGGTGGCTTTGAGGGGGGGATAAGGTAGTGACCATTCCTTGCTGGGAGGCCCCCTGCATGATGCTAATCTTATGAAATAGATCGGGGGTCTCCAAACTTGGCCACTTTAAGACTACATAAAGGTCTTAAATTCCCAGAATTCCTCATGCTGGCCACGTTAAGACTTGTTGGCTTAAAGTGGCTGGAGATGTTGGCTGGAGAATTCTGGGAGTTGAAATCCACTAATCTTCAAGTTTGGCGATACCTGAAATAGTTCACTCGAGAGGATGAACTTTCTAATGTGGTCAAGAAAGACTGCTCTGTTTTTCCTCTCATGAATACCATTAAGTTAACATTTTTGTCACAAGAGTTCTGCAACTACAGAAACTATAATAGCAAGCAAGGGAAACAAAGCACACGTAATATTCATTCTACTTCTGAAACTTTCAACCCACTTGTGGCTAGGTCATACACAAACTTAACCAGTATGGTTTTCCCCTTATAGAATTTGACAGCCCTGTATTGAGGCTCAATACAGCCTACAGTGATCTAATAGATTATCAGAGTTGGAAGGGACCTTGTAGGTCATATAGTCCAACCCCGCCTAAGAAGGAGACCCTACATCATTTCTGACAGATGGCAGTCCAGTCTCTTCTTGAAAGCTTCCAGGGATGAAGCTTTCACAACTTCTGAAGGCAACTTCTGTTCCATTGATTGATTGCTCTCACTGTCAGAAAATTTCTCCTTATTTCTAGGTTGAATCTCTCCTTGGTCAGTTTCCATCCATTATTCCGTGTCTGGCCTTCTAAATTTAGAAGAAGAGGGCCAACTCTATTTTTGGCTCAGAAAAAATAAACCCTTCTGTGCAGGGATGGGCTTCAAATATTTTAGCAAGGGATTCCCTGCCCGGTTGCTGGGTGGGCGTGGCCATAGTGGGTGTGGCCTAGCTGGCTCCTGCACCATGGGGGGGGTTGTTTTTGCTCTTCCTGGGCTCTGGAGGCGTTCCTTGAGCTTCCCAGGAGGGCAAAAATTGCCTCCCCAGGCTCTAGAGGCCCTCTGGAGGCTGGAAATTCCGGCTTCCTAAACTTCCAGTAGGCCCGTTTTTCTCCTCCCCAAGCCTCCGTGCGCACCCTGCACTTACCTGCATCCAAAATGGGCCATTTGAGAACTCCTGGGAGGGGCGGGAGGGGCTGGGTGTGGCCAGCCAGGAGTGGGATTTGGGGGTTCTCTGAACTGCACAGAATCTTAGCTAGAGGCTCTCCTGAACCCCTACGAACTCCCAGCAGCCCATCAGTGCTTCTGTGTAAATGTACCCATTGCACTAAATGAGAATTTCTCTTCTCTTCTCTTCTCTTTTCTTCTCTTCTCTTCTCTTCTCTTCTCTTCTCTTCTCTTCTCTTCTCTTCTCTTCTCTTCTCTTCTCTTCTCCTCTCCTCTCCTCTCCTCTCCCCTCCCCTCCCCTCCCCTTCCCTTCCCTTCCCTTCCCTTCCCCTTTTCTTTTCTTTTTTGACTTAGAATGGTTGGATAAACCTATACATTGTGACTTGGTAAACATGCTGGCTGGGGAATTCTGGAAGTTGAAGTCCAAATATCTTAAAGTTGCCAAGGTTGAGAAACACTGGATTAAGCAAACAATGACTTAGCACAAGAGTGGGAAGCTGTTGGCAGCTAAGGCCTGCGTTTTGTGTGAGTTGTGTGTGTTGCTGTGTTGCTGAGCAGAATGGCAAAATGGGAAACCATTGCTACATCCGACATAAAAGCAAGGCTGATACAGGGTCTCCTGTTTGAGCAGAGGGTTGGACCAAGGTCTCTTCCAGCTCTATTCCCTTCTGGATTCTGATACCGCAATAGGGAGAAGGATTTTCCTTTTCTTTATTTTCTTTATTTTTTTATTGACGGGCCTATTTACACCTCACATGCTTTTTCCAGTGGTGGAATTCAATTTTTTTTTACTACTGGTTCTGTGAACGTGGCTTGGTGGGCATGGTGTGGCTTGGTGGGTGTGGCTTGATGGGCATGGCAGAGGAAGGATACTGCAAAATCTCCATTTCAACCCCACTCCAGGGGAAGGATATTGCAAAATCCCCATTTCCACTCCACTCTGGGGTCAGCCAGAGATGGTATTTGCCGGTTCTCCGAACTACTCAAAATTTCCGCTACCAATTCTCCAGAACCTGTCAGAACCTGGATTTCACCCCTGGCTTTTTCTTATTCACCTCAAAATATGAGCAAATATGCAAATAAGCAGAGTTAGTCTGGATTTTAAGGGCACTTCAATTCTTCACCCTCAATTATTAGATTGTCCACTTTGTTTAAACTATTTTGTGTATGATAAGTCAACCTCTTGATGGCATACAGACAAATCCATGGGCTCTCTTAATACTATTGGTATTTTTTTCAAATCTGAAAAAATGGGCAAATCTGAAAGAAGCTCAAAAGGGGGGAAAATGGTTTATGCTTATAACTTTGCTTCACGAAGCAAAATTCAAGAACAAAACCAAGAAAAAGGCGCATATTTTAATTTTTAAAAATATCTAAAATCAAACGGTATATCTGAAATTTATTTTAAAAAGACAACTTTTTTTTTGTATTTTTCACATAAATGGGAAACACTGTGCATAAAATGGACCTACTTCAGGGGTGAAATCCAGCAGGTTCTGACAGGTTCTGGAGAACTGGTAGCAGAAATTTTGAAAAGTTCGGAGAACCAGCAAATACCACCTCTGGCTGGCCCCAGAGTGGCATGGGAATGGAGATTTTGCAGTATCCTTCCCCTGCCATGCCCACCAAGCCACGCCATGCCCACCAAGCCACGCCCACAGGTAGTAAAAAAAAAAGGATTTTACCACTGACCCACTTGTATATCAAATGTTAAATGATCCAAATACAGGCAGTCCTTGACTTACAACAGTTCATTTAGTGACCATTTGAAGTTACAACAGCTCTGTAAAAAGTGACTTATGGCCATTTTTCATACAACCATTGTAGCATCCCCATGATCAAAATTCAGATGCTTGTCAACGGACTCAAATCTATGATGGTTGCAGTGTCCCAGGGTCATGTGATCCCCTTTTGCGACTTTCTGATAAGTGAAGTCAACGGGGAAGCCAGATTCACTTAACAACCATATTATTCTATTTAACAGCTGCATTGGTTCACTTAACATCTTCAGGGGCTCCCTTAACAACGGTGGCAAGAAAGGTTGTAACACAGGGCAAAACAAATGTCTCATGTTGCAACAGAACTTTTGGGCTCAGTTATGGTCGTAAGTTGAAGACTACTTTTAAAGCACAAAAGTGTGGTAAAATAATCTAAAGGACAGCTTTCTGAAATAAAAGACTGTCTGTATTACCATACTTTTTGACGCACTCCCCACCCCCTAAAAGTGGGTGGAAATGTCTGTGCGCCTTATACACCAAATGTTGCTGAAGCCCCGCCCACCTGCTGGTCTCCCCCCTTCAGCCCCCACCCACTGCCGAACCCTGCCATCTAACCACCTGAAAATGTAACATGCGGAGGCCAAAAATGCGATGTGCGAAGGCCGAAAATGTGATGTGTGGAGGTGGTAATCAGTGGTGATGTGCTGTGGTGATCCCGGAAGGTCTAAAATGGGGTGTGCGGAGGCCGAAAATGCAACATGGAGGCCAAAAACGCGACGAGCTGAGGTGGAGATGGGCTGTGGTGGTCCCCACAGCCTAGAACAGCTGATTGGCGGTATTCCGGGAGGCCGATCCAACCGCCAATCAGCTGCTTGTGCTGAATCAGACTGCAATAATGTGCTGAAGCTAACCAGGCTGTTTGCTGTTTGCTGCAAGAACGCTAGCCGGATGAATACCAATGGATGCTGGTAGGCAGAGGCAGAATTTTTTTTTTTTATTTTCCTCCCCCAAAACTAATGTGCATCTTATACTCTGGAGCATCTTATACTCCGAAAAATATGGTAGTCAAGAATGTATGGTCACTACATCTATAAGGCATTAAAAAAATAGTATATCGGTAGCGGTATTGATAGCGGTATTGGTAGTAAAATAGCACATAAAAACACAAAACTCACCCCACTTCGTCATGTAAACTGCACAGTGAGGGAAGGACAGATAAATGATTGCCTGCCTGCTTGTTGGGGTTTGGTTTTCAGCTTCCCCCCAGATAAGGCTCTGTGGTTTGAGTCCCTTCCTTCCGAAGCCAGGCAGAGGGAGATCTCTGCGAAGGAAGGGATGACACAGGAAGGGATGCTTGACAGCTGAGCAGAAGGCTAAGGCCAAAAGGGAAAGGAAAGAAAATGGAAAGAAAAAGAAGGATGCAGACATGCAGACACAACTTCCAAGTTGGGACTTGTTGGAGGAAGGAAAGCCAGGGGTGTGGTCTTCTATCTCTCCAGCAAGTCCCAACTTGGAGGTTGCCTGGAGAATCCAGGGGTGTGAGTTCGTGCATGCAGACTGAGCCAGCCTCCCTGACACTCCCCTGCTCTTCCATTACTCAATCTCATTCCAGCTTCTAGTCTAGACAAGCGGAGGAAGAGCAGTGAGAGAAGCAACCTTTTGCATGAATAAGGACTGGTTATGAAGGCGTTATTAATCCAGCGAAGGCAGGAGACACTGGCCCGTCTGTGACCTGAAGTGGATGGCTGTCCCCCCATGTAAGTATTTTTATAAAACTTTGGTGGGTGGATTGTAAGTGGTACTTGAGGCCCAGTTCAAGCAGGGGGAAAAAAGAAGGGAAGCGAGGCAGGTAAAGATTATTTCACTGTATGAAATAATTGGGAGCATTCCTTGAATTGTTATGTTGGGGAATTTGGAAATGAAAGGAATGAACAGAAATGTATGATAAAAATCCAGGACAATGTTTACGCTTTGCCGGTTATGCTGCTATCCAAACAGTCACAATTCATCTTAATTTATAGATAATGGCAATGGCAACGACAGGCAAAGGATTAACACAAAATTCCACAAGGGAGGGAGGGAGGGAGGAAGGAAGGAGAAAAAAACAGAAAAGAAAAGAAAATGTGTGAGAGAGGGAAAAAGAAAGAAAGAAGAAGAAAGAAAGAAAGAAAGAAAGAAAGGGGAAGGAAGGAAGGAAGGAAGGAAGGAAGGGAAGGAAGGAGGAAGGAAGGAAGGAAGGAAGGAAGATGGGAGGAGGGAGGGAGGGAGGAAGGAGAAAAAACAGAAAAGAAAAGAATGAGAAAAAGAAAGAGAAAAAGAAAGAAAGAAGAGAAAGAGAGAGAGAGAAAGAAAGAAAGAGAAGGGAGGGAGGGAGGGAGGGAGGAGAAAAAACAAAAGAGAATGTGAGAGAGCGAGAAAGGAAAGAAAGAAAGAAAGAAAGAAAAAGAGAGAGAAGGAGGGAGAAAGGAAGAAAGGAAAAAAACAGAAAAGAAAAGAAAGAGAAAGAAAGAAAGAAAGTGTAAGAGAAAGAGAGAAAGAAAGAAAGAGAAGGGAGGGAGGGAGGGAGGAAGGAGAAAAACTGAAAAGAATGAGAAAGAAAGAAAGAAAGAATGTAAGAAAGAAAGAAGGAAGGAAGGAAGGAAGGAAAGAAAGAAAGGAAGGGAGGAAGGAGGAGGGAGGGGGAAGGAGGAAGGAAGAAAACAGAAAAGAAAAGAATGAGAAAGAGAAAGAAAAAGAAAGAGAGAGAAAGAGAGATAGAAAAAGAAAGAAAGAAAGAGGAGGGAGGGAGGGAGGGAAGAGAAAAAAACAAAAGAAAATGTGAGAGAGCGAGAAAGGAAAGGAAAGGAAAGAAAGGAAAGGAAGAAAGAAAGAAAGAAAGAAAGAAAGAAGAAAGAAAGAAAGAAAGAAAGAAAACAGAAAATAAAAGAATGAGAAAGAGAAAGAAAGAAAGAAAGAGTAAGAGAGAGAGAGAGAGAAGGGAAGAAGGAAGGAAGGAGAACAAACTGAAAAGAATGAAAAAGAAAGAAAGAAAGAAAGAAAGGGAAGGGAGGGAGTGAGGAGGATGGGAGGGAGGGAGGGGAGGAAGGAAGGAAGGAGAAAAAACAGAAAAGAAAAGAATGAGAAAGAGAAAGAGAAAAAGAAAGAGAGAGAAAGAGAAAGAGAGATAGAAAAAGAAAGAAAGAAAGAGAAGGGAGGGAGGGAAGAGAAAAAAACAAAAGAGAATGTGAGAGAGCGAGAAAGGAAGGAAGGAAAGAAAGAAAGAAAGAAAGAGAGAGAGAGAGAAGGAAGGAAGGAGAAAAAACAGAAAAGAAAAGAATGAGAAAGAGAAAGAAAGAAAGATTAAGAGAGAGAGAAAGAAAGAGAAGGGAGGAAGGAAGTAAGGAAGGAGAACAAACTGAAAAGAATGAGAAAGAAAGGAAGGAAGGAAGGAAGGAAGGAAGGAAGGAAGGAAGGAAGGAAGGAAAGAAGGAAGAAAGAAAGAAAGAAAGAAAGAAAGATTTTTTTTCCAGATTCTGGTTAGCGTTATCATTTATTTCTGCATTTCAATTGAGAGACGCAGAAAGAGAGACCTACATTCCACTGCAATGGAAAATTTCTATGGAAAATTCAGGCATGAGGAGGAAAGCGTTTGAAAATGAAATAACCAGGGTTAGTAAGGACTTTCCTGCTTGATGCTTATTAAAGTGCATCACTGGATAGGAGCACTGTACTGGGTTTTGATTGTTTTATTTCAAAAGGAATAGAAAATTCAGAAAGTGGTAGGAGCCTCTTCGATAGGTGGGAAGACAAGAGATTTCGTCTTAAAATGGTATGGGAACAAAAAATAGATCAAGAGAATAAAAATCAAGTGAAAATGATGGGTGAGGTGTTTTTCCTCCCTAGTAAATGAACTTCACAGCTGTCAAATGCAAATGATTGGCAGAGAAGCAAGATCAAATAGAATCCCTATTGTCTCGCACAGGACCTTGGTGGTCTCCAAGCTTGGTTGTTTTCTTGCAGACGTTTCATTACCAAACTAGGTAACATCATCAGTACTACTCCCTATCCACGGCTAGCTATCATCAATCACTAGCACTAGCACTGTTGATGTTACCCAGTTTGCGTAATGAAACATCTGCAAGAAAATCACCAAGTTCTGAGAACACCAAGGACCCCTCATTTCAACACCAAGCTACAAATATTCTCCTTTGTTGGTCACACAGAATGAGGCAGTGAAACTCATGGCTACTGGACATGCAATAGCCAAGATTTTTAAAAAGGTAAAAGAGTCCCTGCAGATTTTACTCCTCTAGTCGTTGCTGACTGTAAGGGGCGGTGCCTATCTCAGTTTAAAGACCATTGAGCTAGCGCTGTCCGAAGATATTTTCTATGGTCATGTGACCAGCATGACATCATAGAGAGCTGTTACCTTCCCACTGTAGTGATACCTATTTATCTACTTGCGTTTGCCTGCTTTCAAGGAGTTGGGGTGAGGACAGGAACTCATCCTGTCTCATGGAGCTCTGGTCTCAAACCTGGGCTGCCAACTTTCCAGATGACAAGCCTAGTGTATTAACTGCTGAGCTACCAGACCATCCCTAAAAAGGTAAAAGGTATGGTGGCAAATGTCTATGGAGATTCTCAGTCATCCAGGTCATTGTTGTCCCAAAGGTGCTTTTTCAAGAGGCAACTGGACTTTCTGGTTTTTCTTTGAAGATGTTTCACTTCTCAACCAAGAAGCTTCTTCATCTCTGAAGCTCAGAGCTCAAAGCTGAAGAAGCTTCTTGGATGAGAAGACGCTCCTTGGATGAGAAGCAAAACGTCTTCAAAATAAAAACAGAAAGCCCAGTTGCCTCTTGAAAAAGCATCTTTGGTATGGAGGCAAAATTCAAGAAGGTGACCAGAGATTATCCATTAAGGTAAGGAAGCCAATGTGAGAAGTAACACAATCAGAAAAGCAAACAGAACAAGAAACTAATATAGCCAACATGTCCCAGAGATTAGATCCTGTGAGACTAGTAATTTCAAGCCCACCTCTGGCTCATTGCAACTAGAGGAGCCATGTTGGCACAGTGCTTAGAATGAAGTATTGCAAGTTAATTCTTCCGACAGGCCCTATTTCGATCCTGACTGGCTCATGGTTGACTCAACCTTCCATCCTTCTGGTAAAATGAGAACCCAGGTTTTGGGGGGCAATATGCTAAGTAAACCACTTAAAGAGGGCTGTAAAGCACTATGAAACAGTATATAAGACCAAGACCGAGTGGCTGTGGATGCCAGCATCCCCATATAGCCAGCTGGCGCCATCGCTGGCTATTGGGGGCGAGTCATTGACCCCCACAGAGGGGGCTCGCAACTTGGGTGTCCTCCTGGACACACGGCTGTCTTTAGAAGAGCATACGACGGCCGTGGCCAGGGAGGCTTTTTATCAGGTTCGCCTGATACGCCAGTTGCGCCCCTTTCTAAGTCAGGATTCCTTATGCACAGTCACTCATGCTCTCGTCACTTCTCGCCTGGACTACGCTAACGCTCTCTACATGGGGCTCCCCTTGAGGAGCACCCGGAGGCTCCAACTGGTCCAGAATGCAGCCGCGCGGGTGATCACAGGAGCGACATGGCGCTCCCATATAACACCTCTCCTGCGCGAGCTGCACTGGCTCCCAGTGGTCTTCCGGGTGCGCTTCAAGGTGTTGGTTCTCACCTTTAAAGCGCTCCATGGCTTAGGGCCAGGGTATTTACGAGACCGCCTGCTGCTACCGATAACCTCCCACCGGCCAATACGCTCTCACAGAGAGGCCCTCCTCAGGGTGCCGTCGGTCAAGCAATGTCAGCTGGCAGTCCCCAGGGGGAGAGCCTTCTCTGTGGGAGCACCCGCCCTCTGGAACGAGCTACCTCCCGGAATATGGCTGATTCCGGATCTCCGCACTTTCCGTAAGGCCCTGAAGACGTTTTTATTTCAGCAAGCCGGCCTGGCCTGAATAGGTTTTAGGGGTTTTTTAATTGTATTGCTAGGGGTTTTAAATTGGGGCGGCCATTTAATTTAATTTATTTTTAATTCTTTTAACTTTTATATTGTATGTTATTTTAATTCTTGGCTGTTCACCGCCCTGAGTCCCTTCGGGGAGAAGGGCGGGATATAAATTTAGTAATAAATAAATAAATAAAATAAATCTAAGTGCTATTGGTAGTGCTAGGAAATTTATTTTTGGTGGTGAGGTATAAGCATACCTCACCTCCAATCCATCTCTTGACATCTCAAACTTTTCCATGTTTCCTTCTTAACAGGGCGCCCCCATTCCATTTGCTGAACACTACCATCAATGATTGCCTCCTCACATCAGGAAACAGCACCCTCGTGAGCTCCTCAACTTCCAGCATTGCTGGTATTGTGTTTCTCCTCCTGGCTGCCCTGATTGGGCTACCTGGGAACTTCTTTGTGATTTGGAGCATCCTTTGGAAAATGAAGCCGAGCCATCGCTCAGTCACCTGCCTTCTGGTCCTAAACTTGGCAGTGGCAGATGGAGTGGTTCTTCTCCTGACACCCTTCTTTGTCCTCTTCCTTATCTTCAAGACATGGCTGTTTGGCTGGGCCATTTGCAAAGCAGTGTACTACCTGTGTTGCATCAATATGTTCGCTAGCATCTTCATCATCACCCTCATGAGCGCAGATCGCTGCTTGGCAGTCAACCAGCCCTATTATTCCCAAGCCATCCGGAAGAAGAACCTGGTAGTCAAGATCTTGGTAGGGATTTGGATGGGGGCCATTTTGTTGTCTCTGCCAGCTTTCTTCTTCCGACAAGTCTTAAAGGAACCCTCACGGAAATATCTCATTTGTGAGCCTTGCCACTCCAGGAAGAGCCTGACCATCTTCCACTTCACCATGGAGACGGTGGTGGCCTTTGTGATTCCATTCACCATCATTGTTGGCTGCTATTCTGCCATTCTTGTCCGTCTCAGGGGGGTACGGAAGAGAAAAGGGGCTCGGACAGAGAAACTGATTGTGGCCATTGTGATCTGTTTCGCTGTCCTATGGATGCCCTACCACATCATCAACATGATCCAGGTGGCTTCCAATCTAACCTCGGGGAAAATGGCGGAGCGATTGGGACAGGCCTGGAAGAATGGGCGAGCAGGAGCCACAGCCTTAGCCTTCTTGAGTAGCAGCATTAACCCTGTGCTCTACGTCTTTGCCGCTGGGAATCTCATTAAAACTTCGGGTGCCAATTTCATTGCTCAGTTCTTCGAGGGAGCATCCGAGGGGCTCGGACGGAGGTCTCAGTCTCAGAAAAACTTGGACAAAGACTTAATACCAGCTGCTGGGGCATCTGTAAACCTGGACCAGCAGTTATTGGGAAATTGTGATAGGGTCGACAAGGACACAGATTGTAGACTGACCGATGGCACAACACATAACACTTCCTAGACTGAGTCACTACACAAGAAATTCCAAAACTGCCTTAGGCAGGACCAGTTCCTCCAGCATATGACTGTCAACACTGATTGGGCAGTTTTTCAATATTTCATGCAGAGATCTTACAAAGTAAAGAACCGAAGCTAGGTCATTTGCCTGCAAAATATGAATTTCCAGTTCTGCTACCTGCCTGCTCTTTGTGTAAAACCAAGATTCAGAGAAAACCTTCTACACTACATGACATGTGCAACTATTTTCTCTCTCTCTCTCTCTTCCATCTTTCCTCTTTGTACCTAGGTTTCATGGCAGTGTTGTTTATTTCTTTGTTTCCTTGTTTTTTTCATGACTGTATTGTCTCTTCTTGCCACATCCATTTGAAGAAATGTAATATGTTGATTTTAGAACTGTATTTTTTTTTTCATAGCTAGGCTTTAGGCTTGACTCTTGTGAAAAGAGCAAAGATCTGTGGTTGATTTTGAGCATGTACAGAGTGTTTATCTGTTAGTAAATAAATTCCTCCTGAATGGTTGGATGCCAGTAGCCCCCCTCCCTCCCTCCTTCCCTTTCCCTCTCTCTCTCCTTAAAAATTACATACAGGATTTTTCAGGGGTGGGCTTCAAAACTTTTAGCAAGAGGTTCTCTGCCCAGTTGCTGGGTGGGCATGGTGATAGTGGGTGTGGCCTAGTCGGCCTCTACACCACAGCAGGGGGAGGTGTTTTTGCCCTCCCCGGGCTCCAGAGGCGATCCTTGAGCCTCCCAGAGGCAAAAAATGGCCTCCCCAGGCTCCAGAGGCCCTCAGACTTCCACTAGGCCCATTTTTCAGCCTCCCCAAGCCTCCGCACATGCCTTGCACTTACCTGCATCCAAAACGGACCACGTGGGGACTCCTGGGAGGGGCAGGGTGGGGTGGGTGGGGCTAGCCAGGAGTGGGATTTGGGGGTTCTCCAAACTGCACAGAATCTTAGCTAGAGGTTCTCCCGAACTCCTGCGAACCCCCAGCAGCCTACCCCTGGATTTTTTGCAGGGAATATTTGGATGAGAAAAAAAAATAAATATAATTTCTCAAATATCTTAAAATTAAAAGCAAAGCAAAAAAGGAAAAAAATGTTTGACAGAAGCCAGTTGAATAAACTGATACACACACACAAGCATATAAACATGAAGTTGAGTGTAGGGGTTTATGATAAAAGAACATATTAGGTTTTTACTGTGGAATATATTTGCAATCTGTCTTCTGATAAACTAAAAGGAATCAGGGGAATTTCTGCAGTAAATTCTTTTATTATCTGCTTGCAGGCAGAATTACTCTAACATGTACATTTTCTAAAAGCAGAGAAAGGCATTTGGGGTTTTTTTTTAAGATAAAAGGAGGAGGAGGAGAGGAGGAGGAAGAGGAGGAGGAGGAGGGTAAAAACCAAAAATGGAATCTCTTTTTACTTCAGACAACCTCTTTGTGTATACTACAGCAGTCAGTAGGAATGCAGAAATTGAGGTTGAAAATCCCCTGTGCTTAAGTACATAGGCCAACAATATTTGTATTGGGCTGTTTACAATAATAAACTGGTTATTATATACAAATGATTTTGTGCATTCCATTTATGTCCTTGTGTTCTTTTAATGACAAGCCCGTGGGAAAATTCAGATAATTGAAATTTAGCATGCCTATCGGTGACAAATATGCTTTTCTTCCACAGTTTTTTCTTGCATTAAAAAAAAAAAAGTATTGTTTAGTAGAGGTTCTCCCGAACCCCTATGAACCCCCAGCAGCCTACCCCTGGATTTTTTTGCAGGGAATATTTGGATGAGAAAAAAAATAAATATAATTTCTTAAATATCTTAAAATTAAAAGCAAAGCGAAAAAGGGGAAAAATATGTTTGACAGAAGCCAGTTGAATAAACTGATACACATACACAAGCATATAAACATGAAGTTGAATGTAGGGGTTTATGATAAAAGAACATATTAGGTTTTCACTGTGGAATATATTTGCAATCTATTAAGTAGGGCGAATGAGGACACAGAAGCCAGGTCGTGAGTAACAACAGCTCTTTACTTCATGGTGTGAATCCAGCAACTGATACGGGGAAACAGCCCCCTTTATATACCTTACAGTCCTGGCAGTTAGCCAATCAGCTGAGAGCAATTAACATTCAAACTTTCCTGCCAAAACTATATACATTACACCCCTCCCTTCCCAGAAGGCACTTTGGATAAACATTTGCATACAAAATCATGCAGGTGACCAGGGCGTGTCCGGACCCTAGTTGACCTGTGCAATTCAGTCTGAGGCGTGGTGTCGAGCAGGTTGGAGGGGCCTTTTGTTTTTCCCTGCTCCGTCAATGGAACCTCCTGGATTTCGCTGGGGGCATTGACTTCTTTGGTTGGTCTTGATTCCTCGGGCTGGCAGCTCTGGACACTGAAGGCTTCAGATAAATCCTCCGCTTGTCTCGGGCTTGAGCTAGCTGTTGGAAGTGTTGGTAGTTAAGGACCGGATCATCAGGAATGATTTCTGGTTTGGCAACTATCCTTTTTCATAGCTGGTCTATGTGCCTTCACCATATTCTCCCATCTCTCATGTCTACCGTGTACGATTTGGGACCGGTTGTGTCCGCAATTGTCCCTGCTACCCATAGGGGCCCGTCTGCGTAGTTCCTAGCATACACTGGTGTCCCTATCTGGAAATCCCTCAGTTTCTTGTCAGATCCCTTGAAACTGTCGGGGGAATAGTTAGGGTGTAACCTGTCTAGTATGCATCTGAGTTTCCAATCCATTAGCAGTTCGGCCGGGCTGCACCCGGTGGCAGTGCATGGTGTGGCATATTGGGCTGCCAGGAACTTGTCTACCCTAGCTTGCCAGTCCCCAGGGCTTAATCATGAGAGTGCTTCCTTAGCCGTTCTCACGAACCTTTCAGCCAGTCCGTTACTGGCTTGATGAAAAGGAGCAGACAGTGCGTGCCTGATTCCTAGCTCTGCCAGGTATCCCTCGAACTGTGTGGCGGTGAATTGGGGCCCGTTGTCTGATACGAGCGTGTCCGGTAACCCATGGGTGGCAAATAGTTTCCTGAGCACCCTGATTACTGCATCAGTGGTAGTGGATTTCATTAGCCTGATCTTGAGCCATTTCGAATAGGCGTCGACGACGACCAGGAAGGTTTGGCCATGAAAGGGGCCAGCAAAATCTATCTGTATTCTTGACCAGGGACCTTGGGGACGTTCCCATTCCCTTACTGGTGCGGTGGGGGGATCTGGCCTGGACTCTTGGCAGGGTTGACACTTCCCCACCCACTCAGTGATGTCGTTGTCCATTTGTGGCCCCCAGACATAACTCCTGGCCAGCCCCTTCATCCTTATGATACCTGGGTGCCTATCATGCAACAACCGTAAACCTTTTCTCTTAGGAATAAGGGAACGACCCGATCGCCCCACAATAAGCAACCCCCTTGCATGTCTAATTCATCACGTTTGTTGACAAAGTTTTTGAATTCCCTGCCTTCAGTCTTTCCTGGCCACCCTCTCATGACCTAACTCATGACTGTCTTTAACATGTGGTCTTTGGCAGAGGCTCTCGCCACTTCCGCGGAAGTGAGAGGCCCTGAGTCTAACGCATCGATGAGTAAGACTGGAACTCCAGGTGTGGGGTCTTCTATGATGTCTGGTAGTGGGCAGCGGCTGAGGGCATTGGCATGCCCCAAACTTAGTCCTGGTCAGTGTACCAGGCAGTATGAATATGCTGCTAGGAAGATTGCCCAGTGTGTCATCTGGGGAGACAAGGCAGCAGGTGTGGATCGGTCCCCTGCCAGGAGGCCCAAAAGTGACTGATGGTCTGTGACGAGGTCGAAGTCCCAGCTTTTTCACCCCCGATACGGCTGGTAGGGCCTCTCTGTCCAGCTGGCTGTAGTTCCACTCAGCGCTGGACAGGGTGCAGGAATAGTAAGCAATGGGTGCCTCTAGTCCATTCGGTAGTCTGTGGCTCAAGATGGCCCCTACTCCAAAAGGGGATGCGTCGCAGACTAACACAAGGGGAAGCATGGCGTTGTATTGTATAAGGAAATTTTCTGCAGATAGAAGTTTCTTTACAGCAGCAAATGCAGCAGACTCCGCTTCATTTAGAAGGCCCCAAAACACCTGTAGTTCCACCCTGTTCTTAGGGGTGGTTGCCTCTCGAATCGCTCTGATTTTGCTTTCGGTGGGGTGAATGCCAGTTCCATCTACCCGGTACTCTAGGAATTCCACAGAGGGGACTGCGATCATGCATTTGTTGCGTTTGGCTCTGAGGCCAGCACTCCTGAATTTTGTTAGCACTTCCCTCAGTCTGTCTCCCAATTGTTGCTCATCTGCTGCGGTGATGAGGACATCATTGAAATAGGGGACTACCCCTGGCAGCCCCTGCAGCAGCCGCTCCATTGTGCTTTGAAACAGCCCTGGAACTATACTGACTCCAAATTGGAGCCTAGTACATTTGAAGGCACCTCTATGTGTTACAATACTCTGTGCCTCTGCAGTAGTGCCATCTACCGGCAGCTGCTGGTACGCAAGATCGAGTTTTGCAAAGATCTTGCCAGGGCCCAGGAATGGAGCCAGGTCGTGAGTAACAACAGCTCTTTACTTCATAGTGTGAATCCAGCAACTGATACGGGGAAACAGCCCCCTTTATATACCTTACAGTCCTGGCAGTTAGCCAATCAGCTGAGAGCAATTAACATTCAAACTTTCCTGCCAAAACTATATACATTACACAATCTGTCTTCTGATAAGCCAAAAGGAATAAGGGGAATTTCTGTAGTAAATTCTTTTATTATCTGCTTGCAGGCAGAATTACTCCAACACGCACATTTTCTAAAAGCAGAGAAAGGCATTTGGGTTTTTTTTAAGATAAAAGGAGGAGGAGGAGAGGAGGAGGAGGAGGGTAAAAACCAAAAATGGAATCTCTTTTTACTTCAGGCAACCTCTCTGTGTATACTACAGCAGTCAGTAGGAATGCAGAAATTGAGGTTGAAAATCCCCAGTGCATAAGTACATAGTCCAACGATATTTGTCTTGGGCTGTTTACAATAATAAACTGGTTATTATATACAAATGATTTTGTGCATTCCATTTACGTCCTTGTGTTCTTTTAATGACAAACCAGTGGGAGAATTCAGATAATTGAAATTTAGCATGCCTATCGGTGACAAATATGCTTTCTTCCACATTTTTTTTTTTTTGCATTAAAAAAAAAGTATTCAACCTATTTTTATGGGGCGGATATTCCTGTTAAAAATAGGCCCAGAGAAGATAAAGCAAGATCTCTTCCTTGTTTGGGTGCTTCATGGAAGAAACACAATGTGGTTCACCTCATTGAGGGGTGATGATGATGATGATGATGATGATGATGATGATGATGATGATGATGATGATAATGATGATATTGTCATATTGGACATTAATGCAGTTGAGTGAGTCCAGAGGTATTTCACGAGAAGAGTCTCCACTCCTCTGCTCGCAACAGAATACCTTATGCCACCAGGCTTGAAATTTTGGGCTTAGACAACTTAGAACTACGTCGTTTTCGGTCTGACCTAAGTGTAGTACATAAAATTATCTGTTACAACGTCCTACCTGTCAATGACTACTTCAGCCTCAACTGCAACAATACACAAGCACACAATAGATACAAACTCAAGGTAAACCACTCCAAATTTGGTTGCAGAAAATACGACCTAAGTAACAGGGGATCAAGGCCTGGAATGGACTAACTGACTCTGTGGTTTCATCCCCAAACCCCCAAAACTTTAACTTTAGACTGTCTACTGTTGACCTCACCCAATGGTGGGATTCAAGTAATTTAACAAACGGTTCTCTGCCCTAATGATTTTTTCCAACAACCAGTTTGCCAAACTGCTCGGAAAGTTAACAACCAGTTCTCCTGAAGTGGTGCGAACCGGCTGAATCCCACCACTGACCTCACCCCATTCCTAAGAGGTCTGTAAGGGATGTGCATAAGCACACCAATGTGCCTACTGTCCCCATTTATTTGTATTCATTTCCTGTATTCATAATCATGTTTATACTTATATCTGTTATCTTATACATGCTTGACAAAATAAATAAAATAAAATAATAAAATAAAATAAAATAAAATAAAATAAAATAAAATAAAATAAATAAATAAAATGATGATGATGATGATGATGAGGAGGAGGAGGAGGAGGAGGAGGAGGAAGAAGAGGAGGAGGAGTTGGTTCTTCTGAAGAATGCATTCTTCATTTCTCCCTTGGCCTCCTCCAACATAGAGACATAAGTTGAGAGATCTCCATAACGTCAAGACCCAATATAAAATGAACTCAAATGTGGGAGGGTTGGGGAGTGACTGCAATGGGTTTAAATTGTCATGTCTATAGGTACATGAACTGTATTTTTATGCTGAATAAGAACAAGTGATCAATGGGACTTTGGTGAGCTTGCAGAAGATTCTTATCGTTTCATGACACATCAACATGTCTGAGAGTTCAAAACCAGCAGCCTTAGTTCAGCCTTGCGAAAGTTGGCGCAAACCCTGGTCTTGGAAGTCTTGGAGCCATCTTGCTTTGCGAAGCAAC